ACAACACCGAGACTGGAACCGGCCGCCTGTACCTGCAAAATAACGGAGACTCCTGGGAGCTCCGCCCCCGGGGTTTTCTGATGTCCTGCGGGAGAGTTACAACACCGAGACTGGAACCGGCCGCCTGTACCTGCAAAATAACGGAGACTCCTGGGAGCTCCGCCTCCAACGGTCAAGTTAGTGCCTGATTAAGGAGTAATGAGTGCGGAAATTAAAGTGGTTTTGTCTCTCTAGGTGAAAGTGTTTAATGTATAATCCGTGTGTTATTAGAGTTCTCTCTCTTTTTTCTCTCCTTTCTTAATGAGGATTAAGAGGAGTATTTATAGTCTTGAGAAGCGTGCCACTCTCTAGGTTTAGGGTAAACCTAGGGCTGACCGGGCCTCTAAACAGGATTGGGCCTTGGTGGCCGGTTTTCCCATTTGGCATGGGTGGACACATGGCGTGTCTCAATTGGTCCGCAGAGGACGTATCTGTGATTGACACGTGGCAGGCTCCTATTGGCCTACGTGAAGGACACGTGGCGGAACCTGATTGGTCCACTTGTCAGACGGTGATTGGAGGATAAAAATCCCCTAATCAGCTATAATTTTTGAAGTTTGTATATATCTTGACAATAATTTTTTTTTTAATTACTTAATAAAAATTATAGATTTAGGATGAAAGAGAGAAATGGTAGAGTTAGGGTCAATAGAGAAAGCGTAAAAAGTAAGAGAGGGAGAAGATAAACTATTATTAATTTTTTAGTGTGATTGAAAATTTATATATATAATGCAATTATTTGAAACCCAAAAGACACAAATGAAAATTTATATCTTTTTTTGAGGGATTAAATCGTTTAGGAGTTTTTATTTTTTACACTTTAGTTGAAACAAAAGAGAGAAAACAAAAAAAAAAGTCATAAACGCAGGAAGAGGACAAGAGTCCTTTATATTTCCTGTTTTAAAAGATTAGTATAGATTTTATTTAATTTAATCATTTTTATCAAATCTTCAAATATTATAATATACAAAGTACTTTGTAAAATTTTTTCTTTAAGTACAATATATTATAATGTACAAAGTACTTTGTAAAAAATCTACACCATTTTGAAAATTACGTTTAATAATCTCCTACTTAGTATGAATCATAATGTGTTTTAGACTTTTAGTATCTTCAAACACACATCGTGTATAATATAATCTGGTCACTTAAAAATAATCTCCTACTTAGTCCTACTAGTCACTTTGATATAGCTGTTTAAAAACCTTTGTCTACTAAAAAATGTTCTGAAACCAATCTTTTAGAATGCCCAAAAGTTAGATTTTAAAGTTGATTATAAAAGTATATATCCTACGTAAATAAGTATTAGACTTGCTGGATGTTAGTCTTCGATCTTACCCCAAAAGTTAATAATTAATGGCGGATTTTGATGAGAATAATCAGTTGGTGGAGTTGGAATGATTTTAATTAAAATATTTAACTATTAAAATCACACAAATTTTTATATGTGATTGGCCACACCGTGTAACCGGGGTTACTTGAGTTACTTGGTCAAGGGTTATTTGAGTTACTCGATCATGGTTTTGGTCAAGGTTACTCGGTCAGGGGTTACTTAAGGGGATCGATCAGTGGTTACTTAAGGGGTTCGGTCATGGGTTACTCGGTTAGGGGTTACTCGAGTTACTTGGTCAAGAGTTACTTGAGGGGTTCGGTTAGGGGTTACTCGGTTAGGGGTTACTTGAGGGGTTATTCAGTCAGAGGTTACTCGGTTAAGGGTTAATCAAGGGGTTACTTTGTCATGGGGTTACTTCTCGATCATGAGTAACTCTAGTAGCCCCTGACTGATGAGTAACTTGAGTAACCCCGGCAACTCGAGTAACCCTTAAGCGAGTAACTCGAGTAACCACGGCAACTCGAGTAACCCCTGACCGAGTAACTCGAGTAATCCTGGCCACACGGTGTGGCCAGCCATACAGAAAAATCCCCCCTTAAATTATAGTTAATAGAATATTACAAAAGATTATTGGCAATAAAAGATAATTAAAAGATTGCAAAATATTTCATTGAATTATTACTAAGTTTGATATATATAGATTCTCATAAATATTGGGTAGGGGTAAATAATTTGGCCTTGGATGTGGATTTTTTTCCTTGGCAATATCAACATAATTATTTATACACCTACATATATTCTAACCACATATTTAGAATAAATCATACATATATATTTGACTAATGTATTCTCCATATATACTTTGAAAATTCTAGAATTACTACTATGAGTATTATTATGAAAGATCATGCATATAAAGTTTTACAATATTACATTTGTTTGATAATTTCCTATAGAATATGTCATTATGCTATCTAAATTGTTGTAAATAGATAATTTAATAATATATTATACAAGTAATAAGTAGTCAATTTATTTGTATAAAAAGTAGTCCTTCATCATGACAAATACAAAAAGAATTACATAAGAAAATTAGTGATAGTAATAAGTTGGCAGGTAATTGAGCGGGTAGGCAGGTTATAGACGGGTATGACATCAAATCCACCGCTTACCCGTTACCTACGGTGGGTATGACTTATGTACTCATACCTGCCTACTTTCCCGCCAAAGTTGGACCCATATCCGCTCCATCTAGGGCAAGTGTTGTGCGGGACTAATACCCACTTGCCATCCCTAATTTTAAGTCTATAAATAATTTAATAGATAAAATAGTTGTATAATTTAATAATATATTATACAAGTAATAAGTAGTCAATTTATTTGTATAAAAAGTAGTCCTTCGCCATTACAAATACAAAAAGAATTATATAATAAAATAAGTGATAGTAATAAGTTAGCAGGTAATTGAGTGGGTAGGCGGGTATGTAATAGACGGGTATGATATCACATCCAACGCTTACCCGTTACCCACAGTGGGTATGACTTATGTACTCATACCTACCTACTTACCCGCCAAAGTTGGACCCATATCTGCTCCATCTAGGGCGGGTGCGGTGTGGGACTAACATTTTTATACCCACTTGTCATCCTTAATTTAAGTCTATAAATAATTTAATAGATAAAATAATAGTAGAATAATTATGTAAATACCAACGTTAAATCATGCTATGTTATTTCTAGCTAGGAGCTATATATGTTAGAGCGAAACTTTTGATTTCTACTTGACTATTATTATTTAAATTTATTTTGATAAGTAAATTATACATATGAACTTATTATACCGTATAATTGTACGGGTACCATTCTAGTTCCCATCTCTATTACCTACTCCCCCTAAGTAATAAAATGATGGGAATAGAAACATTTTATTCCCATTCTCATTCCCCTTCCTCTCTATATTCCCATTCCCATGAACCAAACATGGAAATTACCATAAATTGGGATTAATATTCCTAATCGCACCCTCAATTCCCACTTACCAAACATCCCATAGGTGAGTACTCTCATTCAAAATTATTATCGAATACATCTCACTTTCATAATAATCTCAATATTTTGACTGGAACTTTGACCATGAATACTTGTACTCTATATTTATTATTATTATTATTATTATTATTATTATTATTATTATTATTATTATTATTATTATTATTATTATTATTATTAAAAGGCGTTCCTTAAGAAGTGTAGGTTCTACGTGGCACCTTCCTCAATCAATCGAGTATTTCATTCCGTGTTTAAAAATATGGCTTGTACAAGATTTGAACCCACGACCTTAATTTTTAAAAGTATAGTGTTAAAATTCAATATAAATAAAGATTTCAATCATGGAATTAATGTAAAAAAAAAGTTAATATAAAAAAATACTTCCTCTGTTCTTTTAATATTGCACCATGAGGGTTGGGCACAAATTTTTTGATAATGGGAAAAAGGAAGAGAGAGAAAGGTAAAAGTACAAAGTTGCCCATGTGTGTAAATAGAAATTAAAGAATCAAGTGTTAAAAGATAAGGGTATATAGGGAAATTCTAGTGTGAACATAAATATTTGCTTTCTTAAAATGGATATGGTGCAATTTTTGTGAAATATTTAAAAAACAGACGAACTAAGGAAGTATACATAAAGACTAATCTATATAAATATTTGCTTTCCTAGAATCGGGATCATGTGAGAACCAAGTCCTATAATAGGAACTAGAAACTCATCGTGACCGTTGATCGCTCTCAATCCAACGGCTCATGCTTCACCCGCCTTTTTCAATTTCATTAAGGGAATTTCGTAATTTCGGAAGTTGAATGACCTCCCTTGTTTTTCCAGGAGCCGCTTCATTTTCTCTCTCTACCTTTGAATTCTCTCAAAGGCGATTTTTCGCGATCAGCACTCTTCGCTTGCGCTCATTGATTTGTCAAATTCTTCGATTTTGATCTTCAATTACTTCGTATTCTTCGATTTTTGTCATTCATTGAGGTAATTTTTTTGTGTTTCTAATTTTATTTTTATTTTCGTTGTTTATTTTGATTTTATTGTTTATGTCATTACGATTTTCACGATTTAGGGTTTTTATTGTAATTTTTATCAATTAGTTTATTTTTACTTATTAATTGTTCTCTGATTTATTTTCTACGATTTAGTGTTTGATTTAGGGCTTTATTTTTACGATTTAGGGTTTTTTTATTTCCAATTTAGGGCTTTTACACTTACTTACCCAATTCATGGTAGTGGTTATGTATAGAGTTGCTATATGGCTGGCTGGTCTTAATCAAGTAGTAGAACTTGTTGTGATTTTAAATTTACTTTTTTCATTGAGTCATTTACTTTTCATTATTAATTTGCTTAATCCTTATAACTTCTTTTTTTTTTAGTTTGTTTAACTTTTTGAGCTTTTTTATTTACTTTTTGCTTTAAGTCATTTACTTTTTAGTATACCACTAATAGTTTTTATTAGTATACTTTTTTTAAATGGTTTACTTTTTGTTATTGTTTATTTACTTTTTTCTTTGATCATTTACTTTTCGGGAAGATGACTGAAAGTGTAGAGCATTGTTCGCTGCTGTCACTGATGAAGATATGAATGTAAGAATTTTCAAAACACCCACTCAGCCTGTGCTTCCTAGGATATATTATAATTATAGAGGTGATAAAGAGTATATCCCAGGTTGTTCTTTGAAAAACAAACCTATTCTTGGAATGAAATTTGATAGTCTTGGAGATAGTATTGCCTTTTATTACAAATATGCTAATGAGTGTGTATTTAAAGTCCGTTCTAGTACTACTAAAGTAGATAAGATTAAGGTTGGTTCTAGTAATGGTAAAGGAGTTATTGTAATTAAATATTTATTATGTAGCAAAGAAGGGTATGTGACAAATAACAAGAAAGCTGGTAAACAAGTTGAAGGTGTATGTTTAAGGAAAAAGACTGTGAAGAGAGTTGGATGTCTTGCTAAGATTAAATTTAGGTTTTGTAATGGTGGGCAGTATATGGTTTACTCTTTTTATGAGTCTCATTCTCACCCTTTTTCTACACCTATTACTAGGCATGTTACTAAATATGAAGTTGGTTTAAATTTTGCTCATAAGAAGTTTATTTTTGATGACTCAAAGTTAAATATAGAGGTTGTTATGTCTTACAGGATCATGAAAGAACTTTGTGGTGGGTTTAAAAATGTCAGGGGTAGTAAAAATGACTTCAAAATTTTTTCTAGGGACTTGAAAGTTTATATCTCTAATGCTAATGGTGCAATGTTTGTTCAAAACCTTGAACAAAAAGTGAAAAGTAGTAAAGGGGGTTATTATTTTGATTATTGTGTTGATGAAAGTAGGCACTTGACATGTGTATTTTGGGCTGATGCTATTGGTAGAAGAGATTATCAATTGTTTGGAGACTATTTATCTTTTGATTCTACCTATGATACAAATAAATACTCATTGGTTTTATGCCCTTTTACTGGAGTTGATAATCATAAGAGATGTGTTACATTTTGTGCTGCTTTATTATCTAAAGAAGATGTAGAATCTTTTGTGTGGCTATTTCAAACTTTTTTGAAGTGTATGGGAAGAGAACCCTTTTGCATAATCACTGATCAAGACCCTACAATGGGTATTGCCATACAAAAGGTTTTTACCAAGACTAAACACAGATTATGTATGTGGCACATAATGAGGAAGGTACCTGAAAAGGTTGGAACTCAGTTTTGTAATGAAACTGAGTTCTTGAAAAAGCTAAGTGCAGTAGTTTGGGATAGAGAAATTGATCCCCATGTATTTGTTTATTGCTGGAACAGTGTTATGGAGGAATTTGACCTTGTAGATCATGAGTGGTTTGCATACATGTTCAAGATTAGGCATCTTTGGATCCCTGCATATTTCAGGGACTTGTTTATGGGTGGGTTACTGCATTCTACTTCAAGGTCTGAAGGTGAAAGCAGTTTTTTTTTGTAATTTTATAAATCCCCATGTGACTTGTGTTGAATTCTTTGCCTGTTATGAAACTGCTCTTGATGCTCAAAGGCATGAACAGGATGAGTTGAACAGGCTTAATAAATCTGAGCCTCAATTGCTTACTCATTTACACTTAGAAAAGCACGCTGCTGTTGTTTACAGTCGTACCAAATTTTATGATTTCAAGAAAAATGCCAAGCAACCTGTTTGTCATGTGGTGTTGAAAGTTGTACTTCTCTGTATGGAGATGGTGTGGAGTTTTCTGTAATTGTTGATCATGAGAAAAGGAAAAATTTGATGTAAATTTTGACTTGGCCACATATGAGTGCAGTTGTAGTTGTAAAATGTTTGAGAGTCAAGGCATCTTATGTAGACACATTCTGTTTATTATGAAAGGCAAGTCTGTACGTGAAATTCCTGATCTTTATATCATGAATTGTTGGAGAAAAGACATTCTGAAGAAACCTTCAGCCATAAATGCTGTTCTGGATGATGCTTCTAAGTATGATAAGAAGAAGCAATTGGTGAGTGATGTGTGGTCCAAGATTTTCAGTTGTGTGAGTTTATCTGAGAAACCTAAGGATGATTTATCTGAGCTTATTAGGACATTATCTTCATTTGAAGAGCAGATGCTGACAAAGAATAATCCTGAAAATGCAACTAGTTCAAAAGAGGTGAAAGATGCTGATATTCAGGTTTTGGTTGGGTCAAATGAAGTAGATGTAAACATCTTGCCTCCAAATCAATGTCTTAATAAAGATTCTGCCAGAAGTTCAAAGCGGTTGAAGAGTGCAAACGAAATAGCTTCTGAAGAAAAATCCAAAAAAGGGCAGAACCTGTAGAGTTTGTGGGCAATCTAGTGTTTTACATGACAGCGAAAACTGTCCAAACAAGTAGTTCTTCAGGTATTTTACTTTTACATGTGTTCCATTTACTTTAACATTTAACTTGATTTACTTTTTATTTTTGTGCAGGTGTTATTATACTTACTTTTCTCTTAGGTATTTTACCTTTGTACTTTTCTCATTTACTTTAAGTTGAAATTTATTTACTTTACATTGTAATTTATTTACTTTAATCTGTCACTGATTTTCTGATGTTTTTTTTTGTGCAGTTATTATAATACTTGAAACTTTAAAGATGTTTTGGAAGATCAAGATCAAGACATACTGAAGAAATATTAATGTTTTTTTTTATGTAATATTTTTGCATTTACTCTAAGTAATTGTACTGTAGAAATAAAGTTTAGTTTATTTAATTTTACCTATTATACTTTAACTTTATGAAATATTTCATTTACTTTATAATATTGTTTTTTCCTGCCTTTCACAATGAATAATATATCATATGAATTGTATTATCATGTAATGTCCTTCTTATTTACAAAATTGAAGATAATATCCTATATTACTCCCTTCGACCCAGAATACTTGGCACGATTTCCATTTTCATCCGTCCCAAAATACTTGACACATTTCTAAAAATAGCATGGGACCACATTTATAACAATATCTTTTAAAATGCCCCGATGGTCCCATGGTAACAAAATTTGTTAAACTTTTTTCTTTTACTTTTAACTTCATGTCTTTTACTTTAACACTAATTCCCTTTACTTTTAAATCGAACATCATATTTTTTACTATATTTTGAACTTTTTTTCTCTTAAATTGTTCCTTTTACTTTAATGATAATTTATTTACTTTTGGAGTAATTTCTTTTACTTTAAAAGTATTTTTCCTTACTTTAAAATCGAACACCATATTTCAAAAAGACTTCATTTTCTAAACTTTTTTCTTTTACTTTTAACTGAGTTCCTGTTACTTTAACATTATTTTCATTTACCTTTTGATTGATTTCTTCTACTTTTATATCTAGCACCATTTTTCACACAGAATGATTCTACTACTTTAACTCAGAGATATAATATGTATTCTTCATACAAACATACTACTTAAACCATCAAACTAATGTTTTGGATTAATACTATACAACTTAAAGTACTCTAATGCCTATGATATATTCAAATCTATTAAAAACATTTACAATTCTTCACATGCTTTTTGTGCTTTCTTCTCTTCCCAATCCTTAACATTTGTCAGCAATTTCTCTTGCATTTGATTGTTATCATTGAGAAGTAGGTCAAGTACTGTTTTTATATGATGGTGTGTCAATATTTGAAATTCCTGTAAAAAAACAAAAGATTAACTTTATTTTTAATAAATTATGCTCTAAGTAATCCATATAACTTAAAGAATTTAAGGACTTCAGAAATAATTATAATAACTTACCTCTTCTATGGTTCCCAATCCTATCCCATTAACACCATCATACACCTTCATGTGCAGCATTAGATAGCTTCCTGAGTAATTTTCTTGTCTTTATTTTTGGAATGGAAGTTCAATTATTCTCAGCTTGTAGGACAACATATCATTTACCTTTGGATGCTTTCTTTTTTTAAACAACTTCTGCATTTGTATGATCTACAATGGAATGAATATTAATGTAATATGATACATTGAAAAATGAATTTAATGACATTTTGTTAATCTATTTATGCTTTACTGTTTCTAAGATAAAACTCTGCACAGGCTCATATTCGTCAGTGCTCTCGTATAAAGTGATGTCCAAATGATCAATTGTTTCATTTTTGAAGTTATGACAACAAGAAAATAATGATCTTCCTGCTTCAGAGGTATAAATACCTGCACATAAAAAATATGTACACATATTTACTTTAAAGCTGTTTTTTATTACTTTAAACATATAGTTTTCTACGTTAAATATTTATTCTATATCTTACACATTCAGCTGCATCCAAGTCCAAGGATTGTGATTTTGTCCAATCAATCCATAGTTTTTGCAGACTTATTACTCCCTTTTTCTCATGTGCATTCAAACACATAATTAAAGCATCCTAAAATATAATTCCCAAGTTTATTTCACATATTTATACAATACATAGTTTTATATTATAAAAGTAAAGGTAAAAAAACTTACCATGAAGTCAAGTCCAAAGAAGAATCTGACCATGTCATTTTCAGACCTCTCTTTTTGCTTTTCATTGTTATTGAGGTGGTTTGACCAAGCAGTGATCAGATTAGTTGAAGCTTTCCATTCATTGAGCAAAGTGTTACAATCTTCCCTTATTATTTCAATTGATTCTCCAAACCAACCTACTACTTCGCTGTAATGTTAAATTAAATTTATGCCAAACAATTTAATATATAATGCAACAGGAGTATTAGTTTATTTGCATGTATAACACATACCTCTTGTTTGGAACGTTTTCATCATCATTGATTGCTAAGTAGTCAATCACTTGGTTACATTTCAAGCTCATGTTTTCCATTACTTCCTTGTGTGTTTTCAAGAAATCAAAAACATATATCATATCTTTCAGCTCTTTCTCTTGCTCAAGTTTTCTAACTACTATGAACCTTGGAAATTTTTCCATCTCTGCCAAAGCAAGTGCAACACAGATTTCTGCGCGATACACCTTTCTCCTATTTGCTAAATCAAGGTCAGAATCAAAAGGGTCTCCAGTAAAACACATCATATGCATCATTGTAAAAAAACCACAATCAAGAGTATATTTTAGTGTTTTCCACTTGAACTTAACTTCATCAAACTCATAATCTAGTATTTCATCAGCTTTTTCATGATTAATTCTCTTCAGGAAGTTTGACATTTCCTCCACCTATAACATTTGTAAAGCAATATATAAGTAAAACAAATTTACAGTACAGTTTACTTTAAATAACATATGTATTACTTTAATGAGAACATCATTTACTTTATATTTTATCATATTCTTTTTACAGGCATAATAATGTATACTTTTAATACAAACTTATTTACTTTAATAGTAATGTCATTTACTTTATATTAATAATAATTTACTTTTGAGAAATTAAAAAATCTTACCACAAGAGATGCAAGAATTTTGTAGAAAGGCCTATGCCTGTCATCATACTCGTTGTTATCCAAGTATTGAATGATCTCTTTCAACAAGTTAACCACTACCAAACTATAGTGGTTACTTAGACAGATTGGAACAAAGATATGTCATTAAAATTACACTTATTAGTCTACAAATTCAAAATCATAATGCCCTACAATGTAGTTTAATTGACATGAATAATAAAACCTACCAACTGAGCTGTCATAATTTCACTACTAGAAAAAGGTTAAATTCCGACGGAATGCTTCCGACGGACTTCAATCCCCTCGATAATTTCAAACTTTCCGGCGGAATTTGGATGTGTAGGAAAAATCCGTCGGAATCGGAACCTTCCGACGGAAAAATCCGTAGGTATCATTCCGACGGATTTTAATTTCCTCGGAAATAACCTGTTCCGACGGAATATTCCGCCGGAAAAGTATTTCCAACGGAATATTCCGTCGGAACAGGTTAATTCCGACGAAATTAATTCCGTCAGAAGCCTTCAGCAAATTAAAAAAAAAACCCTTGTATTTTCTGCCCTCGTTGCGACGAAAACCCAGCAAGAAAAAACAAGAGAAATAATGGGAGAAAGAGGAAGAGAGGGAAAGGGAGAAAGAGAAAGAGAGAAGGAGAAAAGGAGGAGGGGAATTCGCCTCTGGCTCCACCACCAGCCGCCCCTGGTCGTCGCCGGTGCAGGTAAGGCTTTGGTTTATTTTATTTTATTTTTTTTAAAATCTTGCAAACCCTAACAACCACAACCACCACCGTAGGGTACGCCGGAAGGGAAGATATTCCGAGGGAATATTTCGTCGGAACCCTTCCCATTTACGACGGAAATAAGTTCATCGGAATGTTGCGACGGACTTTCATTTTAAGTCAAAATCATCTCTGATAGACGTTATTCCGTCGGAAAGTTCGTCGGAAAGGTTTCTTCCGACGAAATTTTCATCGGAAAACGTCCATTTTCCGACAAGGGCTGTTACGACAGACATCTTCCGACGAAATTCTGACGGGATTTTTCCGTCGGAATTAAGCTGTTTTCTTGTAGTGTTTTCTCCTTTGCATCACAAAGGCACATCCAATCATACCATGCCTAATTCAATTCTGCCACGAGTTTTAAAGGAGATGATATTTCTTTTTCATCTGTTTTTGGAGTTGGCTGGGAAGGATCTTGTGACATGAGAGACAGCTCTAGAGGCCTCTGTGTATTAATGAGGACATAAAACATGTTACTTAATTAGATCATATACATTTAATTATGTATTTAGCTAAACATTTAATTTAACGCTTACATTGTGGTTAATGCCAAAGAAAAAGCATGATGAATCTTCTTTCAATCGTGAATCATTCATAAGAAATGACCAACATTGAACTATATTGGATTTTATCATTTGAGGGGGGGGGGGGCAGTTGGAGCTAGGAATACTGTGTCATCCCTTGTTATCATGAGAGGAGCTTCATATTTCACAAGCTCTTCATTGTGCACATTTAAGTGTTTATAAAGTAAATTAAATATTAACTAAAGTAGATAGAATATTTTTAAATTAAAAAATTTCATAACTTATTGTTTGAATGCACTGTACTTCACAAAGCAGTAATCAGCCACTACTTGATACAACTCTGGCATTTCATTCATTTTTGATTTGTTGCTTCTCATCGATTTTGAAACGAAATTAACTTCAACATCTTTTTCTCCACAATCTACGTTGATGTTTATCTTTGAAGCGATCTCTTGGTGAATGTTCTTAAGCACAATGGTTTCTTCTGCAACATGTTGTTTATCACCAACACCTAAAATAAAACAACAAATGTAGTCTCAAAGAAATCATACACTATCTACTTTTAATTGATTTGTATTTACTTTTATACAATATTTACTTTCTTTTGTTAACAACTTACTTTAGTTTCAATTGTTTTTTCTGTTGCTTTCTTTGTAACATTTGGCTGCTTCTCTTGAACAACAGTATCCTTTAGGATACTCTTAGTGATCGGCCTTACTAAATTAGTGAGGTCTTCATTTGGTTCTTCATCAATATCATAACCATCAACTGGCTGTTTTGCAATATTTGCATCAACTACTACACTAACTTCAACTTCCTTCTCTTATTGCTTTTCATCTTTCTCTTTCTCCTTCTCATCTTCCTCTTTCTCCTCTTTATTTTCATCCTTCTCCTCTTCGTTTTTGTCCTCTTCCTTTTCCTCCTCTTTTTCAGATTCTTCATTTTCATCATCCAGATTAATATCATCATGTATAAAATTTAAAGTAGCATCTGCACCATCTTGATTATCTCCATCATAATCTGGATTAGTTTCAGGATTTTTATGTTGCTCCTCCCATGTTGATAGAAACTCATTAGATACATCTCTCAAATCATCGTAAATCTTCACTATTTCATCAATAGCCCTTTGCACTCTAGGGTCTTCAATTAGCTTTTGTGTTTCAGAAAATAGTTGAGAATCTGATGCAGACAAATTCACTTTCTGCTTTTTAATCCTGTCTTTTATGCAGTTTATACGCTCGACATGTAACATTGAAAAGTGTGTTGAATCTCTAGCCCAAAAAAGCAGATCTTTTTCAACTTCCTTCAAATAAATAACAAAAATTTATTATTACAATATTCTTGATAAATAATACTATTTACTTTAAAAGTTAATTTATTTACTTTGCAGTGTATTTTATTTACTTTTTGTTTAGTTTTTACTAAACATTATTACTACTAGAAGCAGAACAAATAAATATAACATATGAAATTGTGACCAATCTCCATGGTAAATTTGGGTTTATCAGTAACTAATTCTAATTCCTACAAGCAAGCTACTAGTTATACTATTCTTTTCAAGGTTATCACTTAAACAATTTTGTAAGCTATTTTACTTAAAGCCTAACAAACACATAGCAAGCAGCAATGTTCTAACAAAATAGCATAGCAGCAGCAGGAGGCAGAGCAGAAGCAGCCAAAGAAAAGCAAAATACATACCAAAGTAAATATAAAAGAACCTAACAAGTCAATATACAAGAAATCTTTGCAAACTAGAATAATACAAGTTGGAGCTAGAAAAAAATACTCACATCATATGCAGCCTCATGTATCTCATTGTATGTCATAACACCATCTGGAAGGTTGAAAGAGACTAATCTTCTCTCTCTGTCAGCAAAATTCCTATATGCAGTCTTAATAACATCACCTAAGTATGATTGTTGACCTCCTTTTCTACAAACTAGATACACATCTTTCTGGATTTCTCCTTGACCAAATGATGCTTTTGCTTCACTTGCAATTCTTTTTCTTACTTTCTCATCTGTCCAATGTTTGATCAAGGGCAATGTTGTTGGTTCAGGCTGCCCTCTAAATGAAAGGTGATGAAAGTATACAATCTGAAGAATCAGGACACATCCACTAATTCCTGTTCTTGATTCCTTATGCTTGTTTTTCTTGAAGCTCCCCATTGCTTTTCACAAGTTATTGAGTACATAACCACACCAATCTAGGTTACGTATTTCTTTTACATTGTCTGCATAGTTGATTATCTTGTAATCTATCACTCTGTTTGCAACAGGGGCCAAGAATGTGCTGCAAACATACATCACAAAGAACCTCTTTATTTTGTTCTCCAAATTATTCACAAAGATGTCCTCGCTATTTGGAATTCCTAGCTTCTTCTTCCATTCCTTTTGAATCACCATGTTTGCTATAGGTTTCTTCCTTAACTTATAAGTCAACTTGTTCTCTGCTACATTTGGAAGCATGAAAACATCTTGAACATCATAGGAACTTACAAAGAACTCCTTCATCATGTCAATCTTGAGCATACAACTGTTTTCGAAATGCCGACAAAGCCATGGAAGCATCTTTGTTGAAACTTTTGTCAATTTTAGTTCAAGCAAGCCTCCAAATCCAACACTTATGACATCTAATCTCTGTCTCTCACTGAAATCCTTGATCATATCAAATACTGCATTTGGTCTGCAGTGTGTAATCTTGATGTCCAGATTACCATCATCATCGTCACTTCCTTCTTTAACCTCTATAACTTCTTGTACCTCCTTATCTGAACTGTCAGGCTTCATTTTCTTCTTTAAATGAGCTTTTGTATTTTTTCAATCTTCTTCTGATGATCCATCAGATTCTTCACTCTTATCTTCTTCTTGTTCATATATAATTGCTATCTTTAACTTCAGCTTTTGTTCTTTTTTTGGCTCCAATAATAATTTGTTAAACTAGAAGATATTAAAACATTTACTTTTAAAATTAAAATATTCAAGAACAAACAACCTAATTCACAACATATCAATCTAACTTTAGATCCTAATACACTAAACTTTTATAAACCTTCTTAAGGTTTTAGTTCCTTAAGCCTTCTCTTTATAAGTATTTGCTTTTTTTAAATCCTTTGAAGTGTAGCACCTAATACAGTTAAGTTTAACAGTGAGTTTATGTCAATACAAGGAGTATATATAGCACTGTCAAAACGGTTTGACAGTTCGGTTTCGGTTCGGTTTGAAATCGGTTCGGTTTGAAATCGGGTCGGTTTGAAATCGGTTCAAATGTCTTACGGGTCGGTTTCGGTTCGGTTTAAATAATTATCGGTTCGGTTCGGTTTCGGTTTATTCTTGAACGGTTTAAATTCGGTTCGGGTTATAAACGGTTCGGTTAGTAAACGATTCGGTGCAAACGGGTTGCGGTTTGTTAACGGTTCGGTGTAAACGGTTTTTAACCCGGTTTAAATTCGGTTCGGGTTGTAAACGGTCCGGGTAGTAAACGGTTCGGTGCAAACGGGTTGCGGTTTGTTAACGGTTCGGTGTAAATGGTTTTTAACCCGGTTTAAATTTGGTTCGGGTTGTAAACGGTTCGGTGCAGACGGGTTGCGGTTTGTTAACGGTTCGGTGTAAATGGTTTTTAACCCGGTTTAAATTCGGTTCGGTTTGTAAACGGTGCGGGTTATAAAAATTCCAGGTAGTAAACGGTTCGGTGCAGACGGGTTGCGGTTTGTTAACGGTTCGGTGTAAATGGTTATTATCCCGGTTCAAACGTTTCAGGTTGGAAACGGTTCGGTTGTTTTTTGGTTTAGTTTTATTTTAGTTCGGTTATAACTGGTTCGGTTCGTTCACGGGTTTGGTTCTTCTACGATTTAACATTATTTAGATCGGTTTTATTTCAGATTTACTAAATTACGGTTCGAGTCTGTTTTTGATTTCAAAAAATTTTGTACTACTTTCTAACTTTTTGCTAGTTAACAAGTTTTATATCAAGCCGAGACTTCATCACTTCATATTGAGGCATCATATTATATGCAAATTCTCATTAATTTTATAAATACATATCATGTTATGATTTAAGTTTAGCTATACTGATCTTACTAGTTTATTATGAAGTAGATTATAAAAGTTTAGTGCATTAATGTATTATTGTTTTACTATCAGATTATTATCTGCTTCTGATTTGATCATTTAGTTAATAGTGTCATAATCATGATTTGATGAGTTGTTGTGACATCGAAATTTGCAATTTGGTATTCGATACTTAATTAGTCAACAAGACTGATAATTAAGACTCGTTTATCATTATATATTTGCATAAAGTTATACATGAAGATATTACAGAGTAGTTTGATTTGTATAATGAAAGAAAACATTAATGAAGAAGAAGGTAATGTTGATTCCTTCAATCGATTATACAGATACATAACATATAACCATCTCATATTCTCATAGTTAGATATTATTAGTATAAAGGGATGAGAAACATAAGATTATTATATTTTTGTATATCCTTTACTGGTTTACCCTTAAGGCTTAAGTCACTAATTAGTAATTAGTAATTACTTAATTAGACTAACAAGTTAATCAGAAAGAGTAACTTTTAACTTGAGTCTAGTAGATCAAATACTGAAATGGTATTAGTATATTACCGAGTATGATAGTCTAGTACGCTGCTAATCTGTTATGCAGCTATGCTAAATTGACAATTGCTCATATAGTCATATTAGTCAATCACTCATGTAGACATAACTCATATCTAATTAAGTAATTTGTATTTATGTACTAATCTACTAGTCAACTATATCATTTATAAGTTTACACGATTACAAGTGTATTGCTTATAGGTACAGCTAAACTGATATAAATATAACCATATAACAAATCCGTAGTACTTCTAACTCTCTAAGATATGACATCATTATTTATTGAACAATTTTCGATTTTTTATTAATCGCAACGCCTAGAAATTACACGCTAACCGATTCACATTTTATAATTTAAAGAACTTAATATTTTAATGTGTGTGTTAAAAAAAATTATAAAAGCTGATATTATGAAGGTGAATATCGTTTTATCGGGATCGAGAAATGTAATTAGTTTTTTTTTTTAAGTCATGTAATTAATTAATTGTATAAAAGTTTGTTTAATGTTATTAAAATAAAATTAAAAATTTTGATTTTTACAAAGTGGAAATTAATTTCATTTTTTTTGGTTGACAATTTCAACAAAATATGGTGGGAAATTTCCCTCAAAAACCAAAAGGAAAAACACATTTTAGATTTAGAATTTAGATATTTTGATTCTTTAATAATTAAATAAACATGTGGTTCATATGTTATGCAAAAGAGAAAAAAAAAAGTGAAACGTGAAACTGTGAAAGACTGAAAGGCAATTAGGTTCTTCATTCATCCTCTTCATTCATCCTCTTCATTCCACAGCATTCACCGTTCTTCTTCTTCATCCTCAAATCGAAGCGTTGAATCCTCACTCACTCTCAAGTTCTCAACTCTCAAGCTCTGAACTCTTAGCCTTCAATAGCTCAAAGGTAAATTTTAGTTAATTGTTTTTGTTTTCGTTTCGTTTTTTTTCGATTTTTTTTTTCGATCTCTCCATTCTCGTTTTTTTTTTCATTCTCCAGTTCTCCATCTTCAAATCTTCCTCTCCTTCAAGCCGTCACTGCTCAAAGGTAATTTTATGTTAATTTTTTTGTTTTCATTTCGGTTTTATGTTGCTGATTCGTTGTTTGCAGGATTTGCATGTCTTTATTTTTTGATTTTTACTTCTGATTTGTTCATATAATTTCATATAATTTCTGATTTGTTCATATAATTTCTGATTTTTTGATGTTGTTCATGTAATTTTTAATTTTATTGTTCTTGTTGTTCATTTTAATTTTCTGATTTTTAAATTTTATTGTTCTTGTTGTTCATTTTTTGTTATATCTATTTGTGAGGTGTTCTGGCCTTACCACCTTTGGCTATGCTCAGTTCTGATCAGGGTTGTGGTTGTAGTACCATGAGCAACAATTGAGTTGATTTGGTTACCTTATTTCATGCTCGTGGTTTCTTTTCGTGTTATTAATTGTGCTTGGTTTTTTTTTCAGGCTGCTGTGTTGTTGCTGGTCTGCCTTTGTGACTGTTTGCTGTTTGTTGAGCATTTAAAATGTATGGTTTTGTCTATAATGCTCTATTAGTCTTCAAATATACTGAATGCTATCCTTTGTTTATCAGCTGCATTGTTCTCTCATTAGTGTTTCTGTTTATGTGGGTTAATGCTGAATGCTAGCAGGATTTTTTGATTTAAGTTTGGGTTTTGTTTTGTTGCAAAAGTGCAAGTGCATTCAGATAGGAGTTGTCTAATAGTGTTTAGTATATTTTAGGACTGAATTGTAGATGGACTACCTCAGCTTAGAGCATGTAGTACTAGCTAGGGTCTGTCCTGTGCTGCTGCTGTTCTAATGTCTGGCCAGATCTGCTAGATGTACAAGGCTAGATTGTAGGATCTGCTGGGTGTTTTCTGCCCTGTTCAGAGCAGAGTCTTTCTGGCCATGGTTTGTGCTGTCCTAGTTGATGTCTCTACTGCAGGCTGGGCTGGGGTTGGTTGCTGCTGGTTTTCTAGGGTATTGCAGCTGTGGTTTTTTCTGTCGTCTTGTGTTAGCTGGGCTGTGTTGTCTGTCTGTTGCTGGGCTAGGTTGCTGGTGTGCTTTGCTTGAAGCAAGCAGGTCCGGAGCTGCTGTGTTAATTTGCCTATTTTTTTTTTATTTGCCCTTAATTTGCCTTTTTTTTCACTTGATTTATACTGTTGTGTTTTTGTTTTTTCAGCAATGGAGCAAGAGTTTATTGGTTTTGATGAGGATTCTACTGTAAAGAATCAAGATTCTACTGTTCAGAATCAAGATTCTACTCAACGTACCACTAGTGGTAGTAAGCGTGGACGAACATCAGATGTTTGGAGGTATTACACCTTTTTTTGATAAGATGGTTGGTCTTGCTCCGATAAAATATGCTCGATGCAATGTTTGCGGTAATGAATATAAAACTCCAGGTAATGCTGGTACTTCAACTTGTAAAGCTCATACTAAGACATGCATGAATAAAAATCCACACCATCCTGGAAATCATGAAAGTGGTGTTGAGCTCCTGTTTAATCAAACACGTCATTTACAATTGCTTGCTAGAGCTATAATT